CCATGCCGAAACGACGGGTGCACCAACGCGTGTTGAAATACGAAGTTGCGATGACGCTTTCACGAGGGCATGGCAGGTCAATATTCTGTGTGGCGATGACGCTTCTTAGAGACTTTCGTGGATGTGGAGACAGGACGGACGTGTGGTTTGAGTAGCCATTGGGGGAGGCACGTGGCATAGGGTTATAATGCCACTCCTTTTGTCCTCTATGTTTAATCTCTGTCTCTTGCTTCTCCGGTTCTTTGCTATCATGGGTCATTGGATCTGGGCTGAATTCTATGTGAAGCTGTGTTGATGGGCTTGACATGGTCATTCACAACGCAACTGCGTTCGGGGAGCAAAAGGGAAGCGGGGGCGTCCCAATAATCTCTTCTCGTTGATGCATTTTGTTGTAAGGGTATACTAACACCGCTGTGGGGAGGAGGAGTAACTCCTTCTATAGGAAGAGGCAGGGGTTGAGTTTGGTCTGGGCAGTGGTCGGGCAGCTGGATAAGGGGACTGCGGGAGCGGAGCGGTGCGTAATGGTCTGCAGTGATTGGTGACTTAAAGTAAAGTTCAAGGCGGCATCACGTAGCGAAAGAAACTTTGAGTGCAACATTTTTCAGAATTTAACCCTAAAGTACTACTCTGTTAGATGATTTGATGGTTAGGGATGTCTCATTGCTGTTTTGATATTTCCTGATATTTTCTGATCTCAACATCCGACGGGTGGTCTTTAAATCTGATTTTTGTCTGATTCTCAATTCGTAATTTTATTTTTTTATAAATTGATGGTCGAAATTTCTAATTGATTATTTTGTTCTGTACTCATATATCCATCTAAATTAGTCTTCATATTACAACATCTGGTAAATTTTATGACCTACTTTCTATCTCAAATTCCCAAAGAACAATTATAGTCGGGTATTCTAATTCGTAAACTTTTTATACTTGCTGGCAGAAAATTCATAAGTATACTCTGATGTTGATTTTCAAAAAACCTATTAAAAGTCCTATTTGCACATCCTATTCGTAAATGCTAATAATCGTTCATATGGGTTTTCTAAATTTCGCCGTAGATTGATTTTCTAAATTGTTCTAATTCTATTTTATAATTTGTCATCATTTTATTTTCTAATTTTTCATGATTCGATTTTCTAATTTGTCAATGATTCGTGATGAATTCTGCCTAATCTAATGATCTTGGTTACTTTGATGATTTTGTTTTAAACTTTCAAACTTTGACGTGATTTTCCATGTTTCAATTAGTGTTTTCTGATAAGGCTTCTCTCATTGGAGAATGTTAGCAAATTTTCTTAGGTGTGCCTGTTTCTGTCATAATTGTGGATTTGCGTTTTTTCGATGCCATAACTATGCTGGTCGGGGTTGGGGTGTTGCCCTGTAACCTGCGAAGCAGAAGCATGAGGCCTCGTAAAGAGATCTGGGAATGCTTAGGGACGGGCATCTCACAAAATAATCAAGGGTTGTTGTTTGGAGGATGTCAGTTGGAACTGGGGTGAGTAGTGTTGTCTTGTAACCTAGCGGTGGGGGTGTAAGGCTGAGCAGAATCAGGCAGAGAGTATGATTGCGTTGGCGAGCCCGAGTAGGGTTGTTATAGTCTCCTTGATTTTTCTACAAATTGTCAACTATGTATTGTTTTAGCCAAAAAACATACGATTAAGAGAAGCAAATTATTCACACGGACGAGTGGAAAGTTCGTAGGGGGTGTAACAGGGGAAGGGCCTTAGTTTTCATCAGTAGTTCAAAAGGACGTGGTTGGGACGATGCAGACCAGTGCTGGAGCGTTGCTCTGTAACCGGGGGGAACGTGAGGTTTGGGGAACTCTGTCGAGGGAGGAAAGCAGAACCACCACGTTCGATGCAGCCGTTGCTGGGGTTTTATCCCTGTCACCTAGGGGCGTGCGGCTAATGGGAGTTGTCGAGGGAGGAAGGCACTCCTTGCCGTCTATACCAGACTGGTCGGTAATGGGGCATGGCGGTGCCTTGTAACACTAGCATAGGGGGTTATAAGACCAGCCGCGTTTAGGTTCGAGGACTTTGTTTTTTTGCAATTGTTGCGTGGGAAGTTTGTTAGTCGGTGGTTTCGGTTCGGATTTTTTGCTTTCAATTTGTTGTATGTCACTCATGTCCTATCTAAAAAAAAAAAAAAAAAACGGACGATGTGTTCGGATATGGCTATCCTCTATAGGTTGTGATTATTTTCAGTGGGTGTGGTAGAACGCTTTTAGGCTCTTGGGACTCCTTGCAATTTCCTTGAGGCGATTTTTGATGTTGTTTTATTCATGGACTTGCGGTTGTCCGGTGCTGGGGGGGTGACCCTGTAACTTGTTGGTAGAAAGAGCTTGAGGCATGGTAGAGAGATCTGGGAATGCCTACTAGGGGGGGGCATTTCACGGGACAATCAAGGGTTCCTATCGAAGACGATGCTGGTTGGAGCTGGGGTGAGTTGCCTTGCCATGTAACCTATAGCGGGGTTGAGAGGCTTGGTAGAGCTTGGTAGGGAATAAGACACTGTTTGAGGACTTCGAGGGTGTTAGGACCCTGTGGCGCTTTAGAGTATTTGAAGACAATTGCTAGGATTTTCGTTGCTGGATAGTCTCCCAAATTTACCTCAAATAACATTGATTTTTGTTATAAAAAAAAAGACAATGTTTTAGGATTTTGGGGACTTTTAGCAACTCGCTTTAGGCTGTTTGATACTGATACGTTCATGGATCTGCGGTTGTTTGATGCCAAAACGACGTTGGCCGGTGTTGGGATGTTGCCCTGTAAGCTGCTGATTGCAGGAGCTTGAGGCCTGGTAGAGAGATTTGGGGATGCTTTGGGGTGGGCATTCCAAGGGACAACCAAGGGTAGCTGTTGGGACGACGCTGGCCGGAGCTGGGGCGAGTCATGTTGCTTTGTAACCTAGCCAGGTCGACAGGGAATAAGACAGTGTTGGACAGTTTTAGAGAGTTCTGTTTGGGAGTCTAGGGGTTCGGGTGAGTAGTCATTCATAGTTTTTTAACCTCTCCTTTAATTCTCTTGAATTTCTTTATTAGTTCTCAGATTAATTCTCAACCGAAGCCGGGTAATGGGGCCAACATCTCAAATGACTTGTGCAACTCTATATGGGACGCTGAGCCCGGTTCCCAGCACGTGCTCCTCCCCACGAATAGACTGGAGCATTTGTCCCAAAAAAAAAACAAAAAAACAAAAACATTTTGCTATTGCTCAAATTCCTTGCACAAATGCTTCTGAGCACAAAAAGAGTACCGACGGGTCCAGTCCCGCAATTTGCAAGAGGGAACTTTGACGTTTTTTGTGCTCATAAACATTTGCGAAAAAGTTTGAAAATTTGAGAATCTGTAAATTAGGTCGTAATCTTTCCAGAAAAAATATCAGAAAAAATAAAAATAAAAAATTCAAACCGCAAAATAATAGCCGCGCTGATTCTGTACATTTTCTCGTTCTGTCCCTCAGCCATGTGTGGGCCAACAACACAAGTACTCCAACTTCAATGATTTTTCAAGCTCAAAAGAATGCGTGAAAAAATCTGAAAATTGGAGTACGTGCAGATTTTATTGTGACCTTTCAAGAAAAAATATATATTTTTAAAATAATTTCAACCGCAAAACAAATCGCGATGGCAATTTGAACCATTTTCTATTTTTGCCATTCAACCTCTCTCTCTCTCTCTCTCTCTGGTACACCCCCCTCTCCCCCCCTCTCTCTGTCTCTCTCACACACACACACACACGAGTAGCCCCATTGCTTTTGCTCATCCGGCCAGTCCTACAATTCGCAACCCTTAGGCTGAGGTATGGTGGGTTCGAGCATCTGTGTTTCGAGCACAAAGACTGCACCGAAAGGGAACACATCAACTACTCTCTCTCTTTTTTTTTTTTTTTTTTTTTTTTTTTTGCAAGAATGACTATGTATTTCCAATTAGAGAAAGAGGTCGGAGTCCTCACCATCTACCTGGAAATGGAACGGTTAGGAGCAATACTAAATTTCGCTCACAAGGGAAACAACGCCCTGGAGGGAACCAACCCCCTCATATATAACCATCACCAACAGTGGTTCCCAGGCCCGGCAACACACCCTCATTATACTGCTCTTCTACCACGGAGCAAAACCGAGCGTCCAGGTATTTCTTTCTCTCTCTCTCTCTCTCTCTCTCTCACACACACACACACACACACAAAACAACAACAACAACAACAACAACCACAACAACAACACCAGCAACAACAACAACAACAACAACAACAACAAAGAATTAGAATCCCTTAGGGTTGCATTCCCCTCGCCCACGCGGTCGAAAACAATGAGCGTCCACACCAGACCCTGCCTCAACACCTTGGCATTGGCGAAGGTTTTTTTTTCTTGAGCCTCTTTTGCAATTCAATGACCGGTCCTCCAACTTTGCTACCGCACGTGCGATAGCTGTCTGTAGTCCATAAAAACGCGGGGGACCGAGCCCCCACCAACTGTCACCCCCTTAGAACCCACTTGTGCACGGTCCCCGGCCGCTGAAAATGTGCCACCTTGACACGGAGGCCGAAGCCTACTATAGTGCAGCCTTCGGGCTGCGAGCTTCAGCTTTGAAAAAGAAAATGGCGCGATGGCCGCAGGCCTGCAGATCAGCTATCAGCTATTGGAGCAACTGGAGGTCCTGACGGCTTATGGCAGCAGGCCACAGAAATCAGGAGCAAAACGTCACTTCGAAATGGCAGGGGAGAGGAAAGGAATCGGTAGTTACCTGTTTCCTGTTTCCCTGTCTGTTGGGACGTCCAGCCCGCAAGTGGAACCCCCGACGAGGTACCAGTACAAAGTGGTGGGATGGACGACTGCTGGCCAACCGTACTTTAACTTCGAGACAAAATGGAGGAGTGATTTTCCCTTTTCCCCAGGTTCTTTTTCCCTTTACTGTCTGGTGAACTGGGAAAACCTTACCGTACCGGTAGTGGTTGAGGTGGTAAGGGTCGATGCCACAACTTACTTGCGGTAAAACTGCGGACATGTTTCGTCATCGGGCCCGTGCAACCCGCGTCGGCCCGACACATCCCCGCGAAGAATGTGAGAGAACGAAAAGTTTGTACGGCACATGAGCGCCACGGCAAGGTCAACTCGGAGGGGTGGCTCTCGTCGTCTTTTGGTCGCCGAGCCGCGACCCGACCCGAACGCGCGACGGGTGTGGAGCGATGTGCTGAGTTGCCCTGCCCTGTCGAGGTTTCTCCGCTCTTACGCGGCGCGAATCAGCGCACCGGCGGTGGTGGGGGATGCTTCGGTAGATTCGCGCCTCCCGTGCACAAGAATGAGAACGAAGGTGTTGACTGGTGGCATCAACACCGTGAAGGTGGTGGTGCGATGGGAGGCGGTGCATACGGACCACGGTATGCATCATGGCCGTTGATTTCTGGCAATATGGAATCGGGAGGATTGAACCGCGGGTTGAGCTCTTGCTGCTCTTCTTTTGTCAAAGCTGGCTGCTGAAGTGGAAGGTAGACAACACTAGGTAGGTGAGTGGGAGGGGGTTGGAGAAGCGGTGTGGGTTTGTGCTGTCTGTTTGTGGCTTGCCGTGCCCTCTGATCTCTGGGGGAGAGGGGGTTGCCCAGACACACACACGCGACACACACACACACACACACACGCACACACACACACACACACACACACACACACACACACACACACACA